AAAGGACATCGTCTACATACATATGATTTCGAATGACGTTGCTCGCTCTTGGATGGCTGAGCTGCACGTTAGTTGCCAGCTGTTGCAGGACTCGAATGGCCAGGAATGACGCGCAATTGACTCCAAAAGTTTCCGTCTGTAATTCGATGTCTCGAATGTGCCCCTCGCTGTTGCGGAATAAGATGCGCTGGAACGGGGAATGCTTCGGATCTACCCATATCTGCCGATACATTTTCTCGATATCGGCACTGCAGACGTATCGGATATATCGCCACTTCAGGATATGGATAGTTAGATCGGACTATAAGACTGGGCCAGCATAAAGGATATCATTTAAACTGACCCCATTCTATGAAGGGCTGGAGGCATTGAAAACCACACGTAGCTTGGAGGTTGTACTTTCCAGCTTGAACACGGCATGATGCGGAAGGTAATAACTGGCAGAATTAGGGGTAGGACGGACTTCTTTCATGTGATGGAGGTCGAGATACTCTTGAATCACGGAGTCGTATTTGGTTTTTGGCTGACTGTCCCTCTTTAGGCGTTGCTCGGTTCTTAGGAGCTGTAACAACGCGGAGGATCTGGAGTGACCGACGCGGATTTTACGTTTTCGGGATCACGAAACGGAAGACTTACGACATACCTGCCGTTATCGTCTCTCGTAGTCGTCCGGAGAAAATTTTCCTCACATTTCAAATCGGAAGATTTTGTCACTTTTACTGGCAGATCGTCCACCTCCCAAAATTTTGTGAGAAGCCTATCCAGGGACGTGTCAACCTTTCTTGACCGAGAAGAGAGCCACAAATGTTCGGTCGGGTGCCGCTAAGGAGAATGGATGGCAGTACGTCGGCCCCGACCAGAATATCTATCTGTGCGCTCTCGTAGAATTTTGGATCCGCTATTGGCAGTTCGTAAAGATCCCGTAGAAACTGTTGCGGAATCGGAGGGGAGGTTTCCAGCTAATCGGAGAACGGATGGTAGACTAACAGAGCTTTTTGGATTCAGCGGATACTGTCTGGTTTAAGCCTGATACTTGGGGCCGGATTACCTGGTGAGGCAACTTAATTAATTTGAACAGCCGCTCAGAAATAAAGGATCCCTCTGATCCTGAATCTATCAAGGCACGAGCTTTAAAATTCGACCTTGATCTGGGTCTCGGGGAGGCATTCGAAGGCGATTGGGAGGTGTTGCCTCTGTGTAGTAAGGTGTGATGGCGGGCGTGGTACGGAAAGCAACTATGAGTGCTTTCACAATCACGCAGCTGATGCCCTCGTGCGAAGCAGTTCAGACACAGCTGCTTCCTCTTTATATATGCCGACCGCTTGTCGACCGTCATCTGGAGAAATCGTGCACATGTGCGGACAGGATGGTTTTCCTTCTTACAAAGGTCACATCCTTTTGACTTGGGTGCTACCCTTGTCTCGTAAGAATTTATTCTTCGAGGCGCTGCAGTGGGGGCGGATGTTTTTGGCAGAGATTGACTCGAGCCTGACGGCCGTCTATGGCTTCTAAGGTCCGGTGACGCTCCGTAAGGAAGACGATCAGCTCCTGCCGGCTTCTGCTATGCACCCGGTGCATCCACCCTATTCTGCCTTGATGCGGTCCCATAACGCGCGTATTTCTTCGCGGCGGATGGTTAGCATGGACAGAGTAGGAAGGATCGGCGAAGGAGTGTTTGTTCTGGATTCAAACTCACTCAGCCGATCTCAGACCTCAATAAATTGCTTAGATCAATTTGGGAAGGTGTTGGTGCCATTTTGACGTTTGCACGGGTGACCCTTTTTCGGGGCGAAGAGGACTTAGCGGTTAGTTCGGGTGTGGGCGGATCTAGGGATGTGCCTGGAACTACGGCAGGTGGAATAGACAACTTGTTGTTATCACTTCGAACGGACATAAAAAAAAATTCCTTTTTTTGGGTTAGAATCTGCTCGCCTTTGTTTATGTCGAATAAATAGGAAACCTGGCCAACTTCTGGAACAGTGGAACGAGGTATCGACTAAAAAAGTAGTGGGTCGGAGAAATAGAAATTGGAGCAAGTACCGACCTGGATTACTTTGCGGAATTAAACCCAATGATGCGGATTAGAAACTGTGAGTAAGGAGTTCGAATATCACCCGTGGAGAAAAAATACTATAATATTTAACCTTTTATAATATTATATGTATAATGTAATTGGGATCAAGTTTGGTATATATTTTTTTAGTGCTGGTATTTTTTTTGCGTTTGTAATAAATTGAGGTGGATACTCCGGTGGAGTAATTGTATTATTTAAGCTTCTGAATGAAGAAAAATACCAAAATATGCCAATAAGTTGTTGGCCGGAGGATGCTATTTGTTGATTAATTAGAACTAGAGAATTGTTTTATTTTAATTTGATATACCGATGGAAAAATACTAAAATATACCGAAAAAATTGATGAACGGAGGATGCTATGCATGCGGTGGAGTGCTGGTATTATTTTTTGCCTGGATAAAATAAATTTTACGTAGTAAATACAAAATACCGAAAAAATACTAAAAAGTTTGTTGGTTGTTAAATATAACACAATGACCAAAAAAATGTTCACGTCTGTTGGTGTAATTTTTATTCTATTATTTGTATCCGGATGGCCGACGGAAAACTTTAATTAGTCGGAACAGGATGGTGGAATTAAAATAATATGTGAATGTATGTAAATATGTGTGTATGTAGATATGGGTATGTATGAAGATATGTATGCATGTAGATATGGATATGTCTGTAGATATGTATGTATGTAGATATTGATATGTATGTAGATATTTGTATGTATGTAGATATGGATATGTATGTATGTAATGTTCGCAGGTTTTAAATTTATTAAATAACTATTGCCGGCGCGGTTTGCGTTGTGGTGGACGATTTCGATTTATTTGTATGTGGACTGTATTTGGAAAAACGAACAAATATGTGCAAGTATTTTAGCGGCTGCGGATATACAGTGGGAAAATCTTGGAAAGTTTTGGGGGCCTGCATTGGCCAAACACTGGAAATTAAATAATTCTCACTGTATGCTTGGCTTATATCTGCACAATATTTTTTCTAAGCTTTGAATTTTTTTCTCGATTTTATATATGTGTATGTATGTATGAATGAGCGGCCAAATGCAATTAAAAAAGGAGTCGGAAAAATTGGCAATATGGCTGCTCGTAGCAAAAGGAAAATCGAAGAAAAAAAATGGCGAAGTAATTTATTAATTGCCGTTGTCCGATTTAAGCGGACTTGGATTTTGGACAAAACGTACAGATAGTCAAACGAATTATATTTTCGAGTGGCTGACTGCAAACCGGCAATTAATAAGACGAAAAAGCTTTCCTTGTCTTATCCGGCTCGATGGACCAAAATGTACGCCGGGGGTTAGCGCTGGTAGAATGGCGTGGGAGGCGACGGCGGGAACTGGCGGCGTCGGCGGGCTGCTGCGCTGGGCTTCGGCGGTTTGCTGCTGGTGCGGCGGAAAGCGTCTAAGCTGTAGGGGAGAAAACCACTCGAAACGCGAAGTGCCCCTTGACCAAAAAGTAGTACGCAAAAAGTTCACTTTGTAAAATAGGCGGGGGAGCGACCGCGGTTTATTCGATATGAATGCCAAAATTGAACTACTTAAGTCTAAGCTCAGTTCCGCGCTCCAAAGCGCCGCGGAGACTTCCCGGAGGGGAGCTGGGAACAGAGCGGGAGAGCGAGAGAGCGGTGCAGTTGGATAGCGGGGCCGGGGTCCCGATTCGCCTGACAGTGAGCCTGAACAATATAGTAGTCGCCTTAACACACCCTCCTGGTGCGCTTCATCACTAGCAAAGAATTAAAGTGGTAAAAGTTGAAAAGTGTGAAAAGTTCTAATTCCAGAATTAAATTAAAATTTTCTTCCGCGCATTTTTTTAGCTCAGCAGTAAAAAGTTTTCTTCCATTTCATAACAAGCGGATTAAATTGGTGCTTATTATATATAAATGTACATGTCGCAGAGTTGATATTTTCTTGTGTATTGCCATCCCTACCCAACGCTTGCGCCAAATTTTGTAAGCATTGTAATTAATTTTCTTATTATACATTTGAAGTCTTCATTTCTGTTGTGTTCTAAAGTATCGTCAACAGGCAAGTACCACCATATATGTTGTGCAAGTGAAATACCTAATAATGTGGGATATTCAGCCATGAACAGCAAAAGGCACATACGTCAATTAGCTAAAGAAAAGAAGAAGAAATGCCAAAAAAGATTTAGGAAAATAGCGCAAGCGCTAAAAGTTGGGCATTCAATACAGCAGATTTTAGTAATCATATTGTAATTTTAGTAACAGGGGAGTTAGAAGTCAATTTAACAAAAAAAGTATTTTTCTTGTGAAGTTTCATAGCATTCAGCTTTTTTGGTATTAAAAACACTAACCCTATTTCATGCCCCTTTTCGCCACAAAGGTGGTCCCTTTTTTAGCGAAAAGATGTATAAAATGGGGCCTATCGGTATCTTTTGTGGCGAAAGATAATGCAGCTTTTCGCCATATGACCACCGCCTAGAACATGCCCATGTAAAAGTGGATAGAAATTTACATTGCGGGTGGTATGAACGGGGTCAGTCCCACGGCCCCGGTGTATGCCGATTTCGCTAGTTCGGGACCAGTCCCGGCGAACTACGCTTATTAAAAATCAAATCGAAGCAAAATATGGATATGATGTGTACTGCGAAGAGTTAGAAGAGACTGGCATAATAGCAAAATCGTTGCTAATTTCCATAATTGCAGAAGCAAGGAGTAAAAGCGTTGACAATTCCGCTCCACCGACAACGCGGAGAGAATTCCGAATTTACAAATTTTATTAGCCTTTTCGAAACGTTTGCTGACAAAGATAACATGCTGCACGATATCGAAAAATGTAACCATTTAATATCGTGTTTGGCTGGAGACGCGCTAGAAACAGTCAGAACATTTCAATTCAAACGCCCTGGGTAGCCTAAGTAAAGGTGGAGAACCATCGATAGTCGATGATAGTTTATTTTAAACCATCAATAGTGTCGATAGTGGCTCGATAGTATAGCCCTGGGCTGTTAGCCCAACAAAAAATTTTTTTTTTAACAAATATAATAAAGGTATGCTTTATTTTAATTAAGTTACGATTTAAAAATAAAAGAATGAAACGAATACAATAAAATATGCTTTATTTCAGCTAAGAGTTGCGATTTAAAAACAAAAGAATGTTATTATTTGGCCCGCCTTGCTGAATGTTCTTTCAGACTCCACGGACGTAGCCGGAATGCAAAGATATTTGGCGAAAAGGCTCCCAATGGCAGGGAAATCAGTTTGATTCACCTGGAATAAAGTAATATACTTAATTATATGCAAATTATAACTCGGCACTTTTAATTAAGGCATAACTTCATCCATAACAGAGGGTCGATATCTTGTCCGACAATTGCTCTTTCCAGATACTGCCTCTTAGTTAAAATTGCATCGACTCTTGAGTTCGAATCCGATGCTACGGGTTGATTACTTGCGGTCTCTTTAACTGGACAATTGGCCAGCTCATTTTCAAAAAATTTTGCTGCTTGTTCAGCGTTTGAGCTATGTTGAAATCCACTTTTTTTGAACAGTGGATCCAAAAGCGTAGCCATCCTGCAGATAGTTCTCTGCTCATATACGGAAAGACGTTTCTTGATTGATTCCATCAATATTTTGTTTAAAGTTTGTCCTTGAAGAGTTTGTAGCAAAGGTACAACACTTTCGTTTTTCCGAAAAAGTTCATATGCAATTGACGCCGACACAGAAAATGCGCTAAAAAAAATTTATCGAAGGTGTCTTCTGCCATCGATGGTGGCTCGATAGTGCCTAACCATCGATAGTGGCGATAGTGCCATCGATAGTTCTCCAGCTCTAAGCCTAAGGCGGGTGTACGATAATGATTGTTTAATTTTCTTTGACAATATATCGACCACGTTTAAATTCCCAAACATTTTCCACCCACCACCTACCGCCATGAGAAGCCTCATTGACACAGTCACAGCGCTGTACGATGGGGATGACAATCGTATCACGAATGCAATCGTAATCCATTTAGTAATAGGCGAAGTCGATGCAGGAACTAAAAGAAATTGGGAGGAACAGCTTGACTACACATCGCTTCCTCTTTGGAGCGAGTGTGAGTCAGCCCTGAACAAGCGCTATCAAAAATTGGTTTATTCGCCGAATTCAAATCTCGCGTTGCCACCTCAGCCCACGATCTCACAGAATGCTCCATCCATTTCGCATGTTTTGCATGCGACTGCATCGGTAGAGTTATTCTTGCCACAGCCATCGTGAGCGTGCTAACAAGAAGTGGCGAGTTAGTTTTGGCTCGAGCGTTGAGCGATTCTGGTTCACAAGTAAGATAAAGAGAGAGGACGTGTGTTTGAGCTTGCGGGGCATTGGTGGAACTAACGCTCAAGGAACCAAGAAAATACACACGATAGTCAAGTCGCGAGTGGGTAGCAGTCAGTTGACGTCCGAATTTTACATCTTAAAAAATATTTCTGGTTATCATCTGGATCAAACGATGAACACCAGCGGCCTGAAAATATTCAATTGGCTGATCCATTATTCTTCAAGCCAGTCGGCCAAATAAAGCAAGGGCCAGAGTTTCCCATTATACAAAAATCAGTTCTCGGCTGGATAGTGTCAGGGAGATGTGCCTCAGAAAAAAAGAGACACAGAAAAATTGGTAAGTCTCAGCTGTCAGGAGGAAGTGTTGGAGTCAATCGACTCAACCCTGCAGAAATTCTGGTCTGGTCTTGCCGCCCAAGGCCAAGGTCCATACACCTGAGCAGCAGCTTTGAGAGCAACACTTTGAGAAAAATACTCAAAGATTGTCGTCCGAGAGATTTTCGGTTCGTCTGCTGCTCAAATATGAACCAAACACTCTTGGTTTACCATATAAAGTTGCGAAACGTAGAATTTTGTCGCTTGAAAGGAGATTGACCCAGGATCCTTTATTAAAAAAAATGTATCTAGAATTCATGGAAGAATATGTAGCCATGGGCCACATGTCTTTCAATGATAGTAAAATTGTAGACAGTCCGCACTTTTTTTTCCAGCACCAATGCGTTCTGCGACCTCAAAGCACCTCAATAAAGCTGAGTGTGACATTGGACGCCTCGAGCCGTACATTGACGCAGGTCGCGTTGAATGACATCTTAATGGTAGACCCCACCATTCAAGGAGTGCTGTATTCGACGCTGCTTCGTTTTAGACTGCACAAGTTTGCGCTTGCAAAAAAAAAGATGTAAAAGAGATGTATCGTCAAGTTTTGGTTGATGAAGCTGACAGAAACTTTCAGCTCATTGTGTGGAGACGAGATCCATCTGAGTCTTTGAAAATCTTCAAGCTGAACACCGTGGCTTATGGAACTTCGCCAGCACTCTATCTGGCAATCCGTTGCTTTATGCGGCTTGGAGAGATTGCGCAAGATTCGTACCCAAAAGCCGCCTAGGTCATTCAGAATGACTTTTATGTTGACGATTTGTTGACTGGCGCCAGATGCGTTGAGGACATGTTAAACCTTCGAGGCGAAGTTTCTCAGGTATTGCAAGAAGCAGGTTTTGAATTGGCAAGTGGTTTTCTAACGGCACAGACGTAACTAAAACTTTTGGCGTGGTTTGGTTGCCTGGTAAAGATTACTTTCAATTTCGGTTGGATGACTCTTTTCTGGATCTTCCTGCGACAAAACGAAACAAACTGTCGGTGACTGCCCGACTTTTCGATCCTTGGCCTTTTGTGTCCTCTAGTGACAAGGGCAAAATCGTTGTTGGAGGAACTTTGGCTTCGAAAGTTAGACTTAGACGAGTCGCTCCCGATGCAACTGCAAACATCTTGGGAAGCTTTCAAGGGAACGCTGTTGCAACTGCCCAAAATCAAGGTATCGCGTATCATACAGACGCCAAAGTCCCGCAGAAATACATGGTTTCGCTGACGCCTCCATGTGAGCATATGGAGCGTGCATCTACGTTCGCACTTATACCGCTGAAGGCTTAAAAGTATATTTATTGACAGCAAAATCCAAAGTAGCTCCCCTCAAGACGAAAACTTTGCCCCGCCTTGAGTTGTGCGCAGCTCACCTTCTGGCGGATCTTTACAATCGTATAAGACCATTGCTTAATTTTCCGATTACAAAAGTATTCCTATGGACGGACTCGGAGATCACTCTGCATTGGATCAAAACACATCCGTCGCCATTGTCGTTTTTTGTCTCAAACCAAGTTGCAGAGATTCAAGAGTGGAAGGAAAAAGCAATTTTGGCGACATGTCCCTACTAGAGTAAACCCAGCGGACATCGTGTCACGGGGATGTGACGTTCCATTTGGTTCCCTGGGCCCTCGTTTTTGCTCGACGCAGAAATAGATTGGCCTGTAAATCGACACTTCGAAGTTCCTGTTGATGTCGTGTCGGTGGAACCACCATTAGCGCTTGTGCTCAATTATGTGCTTCAGAAAATAGAGTCATTTTCGTCGCACATAAAGCTAAGGGTGCAAAGAAGAGTCGCAGCCCTTTGAAAAAAGTATTACTCCAAGAGAACTGAATTTTGCGTTCGAGAAAATAGTGGAAGTGATACAATCTCACGAGTTCAGTAACGACATAGGCAAAATTCAGAAAAGTTTATTTTCTATCTACGAATGTACAGAAGTTAAGCCTTTGTTCAGGAGTTAAAATTAGATTGGAGTTCCTCGAAATTGCTGCGAGTACGAAGCAAGTTCCCGTTGTTGTTATCAAAAGGCTCACAGTTTGTTAAAACCTACCTGCACGTTACAAATTGTCACGCTGGCCGTTGAGCATTTGTAAGTCTGTTGCGAGAAAAGATACGGTTGGTTAATGCGCAGGAAGTTTGCGCATTCGCTGCTTTCGGTGCAAGCCTCAACTCTTGACGCAAATCATGGGGAACTTGCCATCAGACAGAGTTCGAGCACTCCACCCATTTAATATCTGTGGTGTTGATTTTTGTGTCCCACTTAGCACAACGTACCGTATCCGTGGTAAGCCACCGTACAAGTCGTACGTGGCGTTGTTTGTATGTTTTGCGTCCAAAGCGGTCCACGTAGAGTTAGTGTCTGACCTCAACACTGATGGATTTTTTTGGCACTTCAAAGGTTTGGTGAGTCGACGCGGTATTGCGGAAAAAGTGTGATTCGACAACGCGACGAACTTCGTCGGAGCAGATCGCAACATGTGAGACTTCCGGTCCCGACTGGAAGAGCAGGGCGGCGGTATCGGAACATTCGCATTAAAAAAAGGATGCGAGTTTGCGTTAATACCGCCCAGAGCACCTCTCTTGGGAGGACTTTGGGAGGCAGGTGTAAGTCTGCAAGACACCTGTTTCTTCGGGCGGTCGGCGAAGACATCCTCACCGCGGAGGAGCTCGGAACTCTCCTCACCAGCGTGGAGGCCGTCTTCAACTCCAGGCCCCTCGGAGCGATCAGCAGCGTTTCGAACGACGGCGAAGCCCTAAGCCCACGCCATCTTCCGATCGGCGGCCGCCTTCTGGCTCCACCATCAGCAACGCTCTCGGCCAAGGCAGCCCAACCTGCTTGGGACGATGGCGCAGTGTCTCGTCTCTCAGGCACAGGTTTTGGCAGCGATGGTCCCGGGAACGTCTTCAGCCTCCAGGCGAGGAACAAGTGGCACCAGGAGGTTCCAAACGTCGCCGTGGGAGCTCTCGTCGTCGTCGCCGAGGACAATCTTCCGCCGCAGCAGTGGATGGTCGGAAGAGTCGTGGCGGTACACGTCGGCGCTGATAGCAAAGTTCGAGTGGTGGACGTGAGGACCAAGGATGGCACGTACCTGCGAGCGATCCATAGGCTGGTGTTGCTGCCTGTGGTATGCTGAAGACGGCGGTCCTTCAGTGGGGGCGGTGTGTGCGCACTTTGCGCGTTTTATTTTTTGAAATTTGTTGCAAAGTGTAAGGGAGAGTAAACGATATCGCGGACAAAGAAAAAGACAATATAACAAAAGACAATTAAAAATACAGGTCAAAATACGAATAGACAATATACATAAAGTAAAACTAATTAGTTACTATGTAGGATAGTATTATTGATTTAAAGATAGGAAGTGAGTCGGTAGTAGATATTAGGTGAAATAGTCTATTTTAATCATTGCAAAGTACTCTAAAAGGTACATGCATTTGTGAGGAGTCGATTGACTCCACACAAATAGCCACACACTTTCCAGCCTGGCGCCCTTGCTAACATACATGTATATAAATACATATAGCTACACCTAGAATACACTATAAATATTATAAGTAATTAAGTAAGGCCTATATATAATGTAAAATATTATTATAAGTTAAGCTTAAGGCTGCAAGCCCACACACGATAGTTAAAAAAACTATCACCACCACCGAGACTCGCATCGCTAGCCTGGAAGGCTTACGTCACACCGACCCACACATACCAGCACAGAAACGAGAAATTCACCACGAAAAGCGGTCACAGGAGCAAGCATCGCATAAGAGCGAGCGAGAGAGCGCACGATCGCGTTAGAAATCAACCCCCGAAAAGTGTCACGCGCCCATGAGAGAGAGCGAGAGGGAGCGATGCCGAAACTTCGAGAAGCCAAGAAAACAGAACGGCGAGAAGTTTCGAAGTCGATTGGCACGGACGAAGAATTTTTGTGCGTGAAGAGTGGGCGATTGCCACTCCCGGGCAAGTGACCAAGCGAGGAGTAAAGAAAAGCCCTCAACGAGCCCAGGTCGACTGACACCTGCAAGATACTGAAGTCGACGAAAAACACCCAGGACACCCGCCCCACCTGGAGGCGAGGAGACCCAGTCGTCGAGTGACG